TATATATGTATATATATATTATTGAACAAGCCCCGTCCTAGTGCAGAGTGGGCTGGCCTGACAAATTCGCTAATATGTACAGGAGTCATGGCACCGCCGAACCTCGAGCTGTGCCACGGATACGAGAAGCAGTTCTTCACCAATCACATGGGGCATTTCGTACTTGTGACGGGTCTTTTAAACCGGCTGACACCCAGAGGAAGGGTGGTCATGCTAAGTAGTAGAGCCCACGAGCGCGCTCCCAGAGGGGGCATTGCTTTTGATAATCTGGACGGAAGTAAAGGCTACAATAGTAGATTGTTCTACGCACAGGCAAGTTCAGGCTTCCTTGCCTTAGCATTAGCTGTCTACTTTCCTATGGTCCAATAGTTTGGGTATGCGATTCAATATATGGACGAAGTGTAGAGACATCTTGCATCTCAATCATTGGTTCGCTTATTATTCTTCTCATAGATAATTCTCGCCTATCCGTTTTTCAGGACGTGTTTACTTCACATAACTATGCTGCTGTTGGAGATTTGTCTATTGTATGAATGTGTTGTCAGTGCCTCTCTAGGGTCGGCGTATGCCGCTTTTGAGCAAGGTATACGTTTACGCTTTCACATCCAAATCAACCTTTCTGAAATCTCTTGCCCCAACTTCAGTCTAAGATCGCCTCAATACTAATGGCGAAGTCGCTAGCAAAACAATTCGAAGGAACTGGCAAGACAGCATTCTCATGCCATCCAGGGGTTATCTCGGACACCAATTTGTTTCGGTACCTACCGTCGTACGCCCAATGGTTCATGGGTACGTGGAGTTTCAAGTGTTATGTTGATATGTACGCGGATGAAAGATATGAAGCGAATGTAGGGTGAATGTGCAAAAGCAGAGATCGTAATATTCTGTTATATTATTTACCTACCCACGTCACCAGCGGTTGAAGTGTTCTTATCGTACGCCACTTCATGGTGCAGAACCGAAAGTACAAGTGACAGTCGAAAACTTGCTAAATGACTTGTTGAATATCACGCTTTGTAACTTAGTGGACGGTATTCATCGATATGAGCGTAGTCTACACAACTCCGCATCTACCAAGGTCACTATATGGTGTATTTAGGCATAGAAACGGGATTTAATCTTTGCTTGTTATTCTACAGTCGATGTAGATGTGATGCAAAATCCAGGCGTAAACCTGCGAAGATACGAAAATGTGTTATAATTAGTTGTGCCTGGACGTCAAGCTTTCCCAGTTAGCCATGGGTACGCCACTAAGTGGGCCTCATGGTTCGATATTAAAAAGTATACGAATACAAACAGGCCACCATATGTATCTAGAAACTACCTGTACGCATTTGTGCTTACAGGGAGTTAATCATCGGCCGTGCTCGTTGTTCTCTACTTCTTGTCCACAGACTGCTTCGGATTTCTCCTACTTAAAACAATCCCGGAGGGTGCCGCTACACAGACATACTTGAGCACAGCAGATGATCTGGAACAGCATAGCGGCCGTTACTTTGTTGATTGTAATGTCTATCCAGAACGTCAGGATGGTACTGATATGGACACTGCCGACAAGTTGTGGAACATATGCAAATCAATAGCCGCCGGATTATCGAAGCCTTGATCACTGAGGCGCCCATGCAGTTGAGCAGAACAAGCCTTATTATACGCATCGAACGTGCTGGTGCTGCTCTAGGCTGTGATTAAATACGCAATTCTGCAGGAAGATTTGTATGTTTTTGTGTGAAGGAGATACCAGAGTATTAAACAACTGAGAGTTGGCTATAAAATGATGCAACAACGTTTTATGTTACAGACAAGGTTTTGGGTCTATTCGTGTTTCGCTCACGATGATCTGATCTCAGTAAGAACATGGTGGTAAGCAACTGTATACGTAGTGAATGACAATGAGAAAGTGGCCAACACGGGTCCACAAAAGAGGACAGATGAGAAGTTGGGTGTGATTGATATATTTGTACACTGCAAATATTGAAAGTATTGTTCTTATGAAGGTCATAAATACATCTGTGAGGACGACGGTATATACGAACATATGCAGATGAAAAATATACATACACATATTCTATGTATGTATGTATATATGTATTCCATATATGTATGTATGTATGCCATGTATGTATGATATCTATCTATCTATCTATCCATCCATCCATACATCCAATTAACTATCCATACATCCATCCATACATCCAATTAACTATCCATACATCCATCTACCTACCTGCCTACCTGCTTATCTACCTACCAATCCGTTACATCTATATATATTTATGTACCATATATATATATAT